CACTAAGCTTGATAATGCTACCCACCAACTTTGCAGTAGGCGTTAATTCTGTGTTCTCCCACGGTGCCCTGGGCCCATAACCTGTTGGAATCCTAATGTTTCCACTGTGCAATGAAGAGAGCACAACTACTACTGCAGTTTCTTTATTAAAAAAGAGTTAACATAAAAGTACAATTTCCGTTTTAGAGAGTAATCGACCACTCGAGGCACATGTATTATATAGGTTAACTGTCAATCATAGTATATATGTTACACAATTGATTACAAAAACTGTCCTTTTTTAAATAAGGAAACCCGTTTTATGATATATACAAAATTTCATACTCTAATCTACTATTTACATATTTACAATGAATTTTCTTTTTTTTTACACTTTTCAGCTTTCATATTAATTTATAATTTTTTTGAATTCGGTGAATAGAAGCATGTCACAATCCTCTAAAATGCGAGTATTAAAAAGATGATGGGGTGAGCGATATTTTTGTATTAAAACAGCATAATTACAAATATAGTTTTATTTTATATTATTATACTTTACCTACGATATCAATAGTTCCTCCGATGTTAAATTTGTCACGTCAATTTAGTCAAGTCGTTTTTATAGTTAGTATTTTTAAGTCGAACACAAGCATTTTTAATAGTTAACCTGCTCCTCTTCTAACTTAAAATAAATTTCATTTGTGAAAATATTTGCTCACATTTATAATGTGGACAAAATGGCAAAGCCGTTTTTTTTTAATGATGAATCCTCATAGGAAGTGATGGCAAACGTGCTGATATCATGATAAAATGATTACTTTCTGTATTTTCCAAATAGTTCCGCAATATCTTGAGTTTATCGGTCCATAATGTTGAATTTTTAAAATCAATCATTTCTAAACTAAATTTGTCAATTCTTTGTCAATTCATTTGTCCATGTTTCTTAACACTTTAAAACCGACTTTCATATTCATTTAATGACCGAAATCCAACTTTCGAACATATTTAGATTGCTTTCATCGATATTTTCAATATTTTTCTTTTTAACAAGAGAATAATGATTTTTTTTGTTTTTATGTCCAGTCACAAAGAATATCAATTTTGAAGTAAAACTCTTCCATTCCATTTTCAAAATTGTGTCGTTATTTCCTAGGTGTCCTACCTCGAAATCATTATACTGGGTCATTATGTCTTTTAAAAACAAAACTTGAAATATATGTATATCATCTAAACACTCTACAAATCTATTAAGAAGAACTTTGCACCGACTTAACCATCGTATTTCAGAATGTAATAGCAAATCTCAATATTTCAATTTCCTCCAAAAAAGCTTTAAAGCGCCTGTGTATTAATGCGAATTGCTCTATTATTATGTTTCCAACTTTTTACACTTGGAGCAGCTATTATGGAAAATAATTTACTTTTTAAATCCAATACTTGCCCATTTATTTTATATTTTCCAAGTACCCAAGAAACAATCCTTCATGGCAAACAAATTACACGAGTAAACTATAGGCGTCCATATAAAAACATTTTCCAGACAACTACCTCATACAAAATTAACATTATATCTCTCATCTATACCTACCAACCATCACAATAATCAACATCCTTCACCTCGACTTGACATCATAATTAACGTCAAAAGTAAAAAGAAAATGTCTTTCACAAATATGACATTTCATTTGCTACGACAAAAACTACAAACATGTTTTCTGCGCCATTATGCCTTTTTCATTTTATGATATTAATGTCCGCAATTACAATTTTTTTTTCTAAAATTTTACATCGCCTCTAAAAAAACCGCTCCCCACACCGAAGGGTGCTACTAGGGTTATGGAATTGACCGGTCAATTTTTTTGTGTCACTTGACTGGTTAAAAATATACCAGTGTTGAAAGTTTCGTACTTCAATTTAACAGATATTTATTCATTGCTTCATTAGAAAAGTAAGTAATAAAAAAAAGTAATTATAGTTATGGTGAGAATTAACAAATAATATTGTGAATTTTATTTGCTATAATTGTTTGAATTGTTATATATCACATTGTAAAAATTATAGTCTTTATATTTTAAAATGTATAGTACAATTTGTATTTATAATCATAAACATTTAAAATATAATCTGAAATTTTAGATAGGAGGGTTTTCGTGGACAGGAAATCCAAATATGATATTACATACATTTAAAAAAAAACCATGGCCAATTTGCCAAAATGTACCCCTATGGTGCTCTATATAACCCTCTCATAACGCGTAAGTGATAATCCCTAATGGTAAACAAATTACATGAACAAACCATGGGCCTCCCAATGAAAACATTACCAAATTAACAACTACCCCATTCTTATATCGAAACTACAATTACATCTCTCATCGATACAAACTAACCAGAACCAATCAAAATTGAAAAAAAAACAAAGCCTCAAAAATAAACTTCCTCGGCAACGGTTTGGCACCACCATGGCGATAACAGAAACTAACCAAAACAAAAAAAAAGTAAACAATCGCGCCTCCCCGATGAACCTCCTCTTCGACGCCGTGACATTATCAAAGTAAGAACAAACACTTGCCAAAATAAACCAAAATTGCAAAACCTCCTTTCCGTTTCAACATTAATAACAGTTCATTCTTTATGCTAAAAAATACAAACATATATTAATGTCTTTCTCCTTTTCGTGTCAATAATATTAACCGTACCATTACAGATTTAATAACGAATCTGTAATTCTATTCTACTACCGCCACCAGTTCCGTCCGTTCCGCCACATGTCCCGCGCGTAAGTGTGTTGCCTAACCCTCTGGCTGACGGTATAATTTAAACTAAAATTTAAAATACCATTTTAAAACCCATAAAACAAAATGCAAAAACTCCGAAATTATTTGATTTATCTTTGATCTCAAATTGTATTATAAAGATAACGGTTCTATCAGTTGAATGAAAGGTAAATGTCGAGATATAAAGGGTGTCCGTCATAGAACATGAGACGATACTATAATTCAACATAACAACAAAAGTTGCAACTAAAACTCAATTTTCGAAAAATTACAATAATTTCAAAAGCACAAAATGGATTAGATAGGTAGGTATAGAATAACAGAACTAGAGTTAAATCAACATCTCCTGAATACGAATTTTAAAAATATTTACAGGGTAGATCAACTTTTTAGGTAAAAACCGCTCATAGGTATCTAGTATTGTTTCAAAGTTATAGAGTGGTTTTAGAAAATGTGCATTTTAAGAAAATCGCAGTAAGTTTCTCGGACCTAAGTGGTACAAAAGCTATACATACATGAACTCCCTGGGTATGATAAGAAATGGTGGTTTTAGGAGCCGTTAAAAATAATTTTGCAACGTCAACATTAAAATTAAAAATACGAACAAGACTAACCAGAACTAACATTAGATAAAAAACACGTACATGCCGCGCAGTAAGGAAAAGTGCAATGGTGCAAGGTTGAAATAAGACCTTGGCGTCTTTACAACCAACACCTGTATTTGTATACGATGGCACTGTCCTTTATCAATTTGTTTGTTCTGAAAATCGAGCTCCAGACACCTGCATTAGTTTTCCTCTATCTGCGTTAAAAGTGTCCAATTTGGCTCACCGTGTACATTATGTACGTACTTTTAAATTTTGTATAGATTGTCTAAATTTAGTGCCCGTTTTTGTTCATTTTCTAATATTGTTGGATACTTCGGAAAAAAAAAACACAAAACCCTGTTACACTGAGATGTTAATCCCAAAAACGAAACATTTGGAGATTACATTGTGAAACCCAGCTGAATAGCCTTTGACCAAACATAAAAAAATCATTGTGGACTAATATAATACAACGTATTCACTTAATAGTTCTATAATAAACGCAACAACTGTTGTTGGATTTTAAGTATCCTCTGGCAAAACCACCACGACATTTTGCTGCAGTCGTTTGTACGTATTTAGTGTTATTCCGAGAAAATAAAATTTTTTCTTATCTTGCCGTCATTTTTACTAGATGGTGTTACTGTTAAAATGTTTTCTTTTCTTAGACATAATAAAAAGAGTGTTTTTATTTCTTTCTTCTTCATTTTTTTTTGCATTTGAAATATCTTTTCAACATTGCAATCGAAGTGGAGCAACGGGTACACAACAAGAGCTTTTATATGAGATTTTCCCTACATTAACATAACCTTGACCTTATAGTATCAGCGAAGTAGTTTACAAATAGAGCGATATAGACTCGCATTATCGAATGTGGCCTTTTGAATTAAGACAGACGTAAATTAGTAGTTTTTTATTACCACAAAAGAAAGCCAAAGTTGCTTGGCTTTAATTTGGTTTTTGTTTCAGATAGGAAGATGAAGTTAAATGGCTTAGAATTAATATCCATTACATCACTAGTTGGCATTAGTGTCCTATCGCCATCAGAATGTATAAAAACAGACACGTGCAGTTGTTACTCTGCCATCGGGGGCGTATACAAATTCCAATGTCCAGATGTACATCACGAAATAAACATACACTGGACTCCAGGAAGGACCGTAGATATGTTTTGCGAGACGAGAGAGAATCGAGGAGTTTTTAACGAATCCTTTTTTCCTACATTTGACGGCCACGACGTTCCAAGTATTATCATAAAATACTGCCCCAATATAAGTACGGTCATAAAAACAGCCAGGAAGAAGTTTAACATGGTGCACCTTCGATAGCTTAGCATAGAAACGTCCGTCGGCAACAGCTTGAAGGTTGCGAGTGATTATTTAGAAGGACTGGATAGTCTGGAAAGATTAAAAATCAAATACAACTCGCTGATTTTGAGTAAAGATTTTTTGAAGTATGTTCCCAATTTAGTAGGGTTGAATTTATTTAAGAACAAACTCAAAGATTTAAGTATTGATTTTAAATACATGCCAAAACTTAAATCTCTCGATGCGTCTGGCAATGAAATAATTTCGTTGTTTGATGGCGGATTTGAAGGCCTCGGCGAATTGACGAATTAGTATTTATGGAACAATAACCTGCCTGTCTTAAGAAAAAAATGTTCCGCGGAGTAACCGGTGTGAAGTTGCTAGAGCTGAGCAGCAATCTTATCGAAACGGTAGAGCCGGATACATTTTCCGAACTATTAGACATAACCATTATCAGTCTGCTAAATAATCGCATAAAGTTTCTCCACTCTAACACATTCAAAAACAACGCTCTGCTTCAGCAAATTAAGATTGCGTTTAATCCGATACTTCTACCCGATTACAGTTTTGCAAATTTAAGCAAATTTAAAGTTGTCAAAATGGATAGCTGTGGCTTGCAAAGCATTCCCCATCACATATTTACAGGATCAGTGAATTTATCAGAAATACAACTGTCGAATAATTCTCTAACGACTATTCCGAAAACTCTCTTTGATGGTCTAGACTCTTTAATGAAGCTGGATTTGTCTCAAAATCGATTGACCTCGATTCCAGATGAAGCGTTTTATAATCTTCGTAAACTAAAAGAACTACATCTTGAGAAGAACGAGCTGACGGTGTTGGGAGCTGATATGTTCTTAGGTTTGGAAAATTTGCAGAAACTAATCTTAAGCAGAAATAAAATCGCCAGAATAGAGATGATGAGTTTCCGCGATCTGTTGGAGCTCCGACACTTTCATTTGCCTCATAATAGATGCGTCATGGTTTCTGATAGGATCACGGGCGTTACTGCTTTGGGATTCTGCGTCAAGATCGATGAGGTGTTGTGCACCATAATAAAATCGAGATCATACCCGAAAATTATTTTGACTTAATTGTCAACATAAAGAAGTTCAACGTCAGTTATAATGATATTTCTAATCCGGGTGAGTTCCAAAATTCTCATTTTTTATGTGAAAAAAGTAAAATAATTGCCAAAAAATATCTTAACATTATTTTATTCAATTTATTTATTATTATTAAATAAATTTATTTATTTATTATTAACTGGTTCTTAGGCTATGAATTATAATAAACTAATTAGATCCATGTTTTTTTGCTGCTGAACATATCATAAGATCGATGTTTTATTCTTACAAGAAAACAAGCATAAGTTTTGATTTTTTAAGTGCCTAATTATACAGAACAGTCCGATAAAATTTTGCTTTTCCATATAGGTATTCCAGGTATTGTTTGCTGCATTTTCTGCATTTTATTCAAATACTCTTATTGCTTCAATCAACACAGTGTACCTCCATTACAAACAGTTATCAACAATTTTTGAGTGGGCGCTACCAATTTTAGGATAAGAATTTTGTTTATCTTTAGTAATTGTTTTGTATATAACCAATACATAAATTAGATTAAATGTATCTTATTAGTATCGATTAATTGATGGTTCATTGGTCAGTTTTGGCTGATGATTTATAATTAAAAAATATACACTCGATACTCTGCAAAAGGGAAATAATCACCACGTTGGGGAGATACGAAACTGTTAGCCAAATCTGTCTTACCATTATTACCAAATCATAATCAACCTATAACTAACCAAAAAAGCTTGCTAAAATCAAATTCTCCAGAAAGTCGATTTTAGATTGGCTCGTTCTGAGACCACTTAATTTTCGTCTCCTAAATCGGTCTTTTCGTTTATTGGCCCATTTTCACTCACAAGTATGTCCAGAGTTATTAAAAATATCTCGGTTCCAATGTTTATTAGGGCATCATGAAATGATAGTGGATGTCTCCCATAATAACATAACTGAAGTCGTCTTCTCCCTCATTATAACGGATCCCTGTATGAACCGAACCATGCGAATCAAAGCATACTAATCCGTGATAACGTTATCCCTTGCGATTGTACTAACTACAATCTGGTCCAATATAACAACGACTTGTACGATCCCGAGCACTGGTCGACATTAAACAGGATCGGTTACACTGTTCGAATTTCGAGTCTCCTATTTTAGCAAGGGACCTCGGCAGATCACCTGCTCACTGGAAGGATTGATTAACTGTCCTGGTCCTTGTGCCTGCGATTATAGGCCCTATGACTTAAGCATCATCATCGATTGCTCATATCGGAACTTATAGACATATCCAACATTGAGTATTACCCGCATCAGGTACAATCAGACAGTTTGGATCCCACTTCACGTTAAGGCAAGTATAAATGACCACGGTAATTGTACATTTATTTTTTAAATTTCTATCGTGAGATCATTTTGTTTGTAATTAACTTTTAGGAACTTCGTTTCAGTGAAAACTTTATCAAGCTCTTAAATAAGATCGCATCGCTGCGACGAATGACACTCAACAGTAATCCTTGGTACTGTGACTGCCAGGCCGCAAATTTGCAAAACTATCTTGTGGCTCATTTTGACAAGGTAATAATCGTGCTCCTATTTAAAATTGTTTATCAAAATCCGTTTGAGTATAGCAACCGTGATTGCTATTCACGCTTGTTTTTTGTTTGGGTCGATCGTATTTCTTATTTGGTTCTGATTAGAACAAAAACCACTTCAATCAATCACCCAAGCGCACTCTAGTTTATTTTAACATATACGAATGATTATTTGAAATAAATATAAGTAATAAATGCAAGCATAAAATACTAGTCCTTTTCAGTTTGCAATAATTTATAATAGTAAAAAGTCCTTCAATATTACCTTGCATATCTATATATATTATCGAAAATGCACTATGAATAAACCATATTTTTAAGATTATTAAAATGTAGGTTTGCTGACATGTACGGGATGATTTACGTTGGATGTAACATTAAGAGTTCTAAAGAACTGAATGTTTATATTTTATAACCACCTAACCGAAAATTTGGATGCCAAACAAAATTTTAAAAAGTAATATTAGTAAGTAGTAAATCGTTACATATATAAAATGTATTATCCAAATTCGTAAGTTAACTAACAGTAAGTAGCCAATGCACGAATATAAAACTTTTAAATATTATAATAGCGCTACATCGGACAGTATATTTTAGCAAAAAAAATCTTCATTGTTTTATTTTTTTACTTCTATAATTTATTTTTTTATCAAAATCTGTAAGGGGTAGGTATTTGTAGTACGCATCAAAAGATGCTTATAGATTCCATTTGAAATCCCAACGTTACCACTGATTTGTAATACTTTTTCAAAAAGAAACTTCCACGGGCTTTTTACAAATCTTCTGGATTCATCCTGCGTCGGTTTTTGATAAACCAAAATTGCTGACGTTTCGCCATTTGCAACAGAAACAGAAGATTTGTAAATAGGATTTCTAATACATTTGCCAGGAAATATCTCTAAAATACATATTTTTACAATTTGCTTTTCAACAAATGGTATTTCCAGTTTTGTTGCTTTAATAAAATTTCCGATTTTATTTCATTCTTAAATATACACTGACCAGCAAAATAATTTTGAATTATTTTTAGAAATTTATATAAAAATTAAAATATTTATTTTTATTGTAATCTGGCATACATCCCAAATTTATAGAATTGTTTATTTTTTATGGGTCTCGTTATCTTATTTTTATTTAGTTGGAATACCTGGTTTTTGTGTAAAGTGTTTATTATGGAAGGCCAATCTAGAAATGTGACTGCCGAAGAGTGTGCCCAGGTAATCATTTTATTGGAAGAAGGATGAACCTTTCGAAGAATTGGACAGAGATTTGCGATACACCGCATAGATCCGTTTCCCGTATAATCGAACGTTATAGGGAGGCAGGTCAGCACTAAAGAAAACGTGCTCATAATCGCATACCTACGCCACTTGAATACCGTTTCTAAGGATCTCTGCTCAACCGTTTGTGACAGGAAGATGGCTACAAACACAGCTAAAGGAAGCAGAATTGGAACTGATACTGTTCGTCGATGCCTAGCTGAAATTGATCTGAGAACAAGAAACCCATCGCCAGGGCCAGCATCATAGAACAATGTTAATTTTTTCTAGAGAACACATATCGATTGGCCTGATGAAGACTGGGAAAGAGTTTTTTTGGTCAGATGGAACCAGATACAACTCAAACTTTATCGAAGACCAAATGAGAGATAAAACCCAATGCAACTTTCAAAACACCAGATTATTTGGTGAAAGGTCAGTTATGTTTTGGGGAGAAATCAACCAGTCCTGATCTTAACCCAATTGAGAATGTTTGGGACAAGATCTGCAGGCGTTTTCAAGAACTTCCTAACCTGCCTATTACTTTACTTACTGGAGATATTGTCCAAATATGGGAAAATTTGGATCAAAACGAGATAAGGCGCGTACTTTTAAGCATGAATAGTCGCTGCCGTGCTATTATTCATAATAGAGGTGGAAATGCCTATTTTCTAAAAATATTTTTTAAATTTAATAATTTCTTTTTTTAATTTTCTTTTTTTATTTATTTTTTTCTTATTTTCTTTTCGAATTTTAGCTTTAGTTAGTATTAAGTTAAGTTAGTATAGTTAGTATAGTTAGTATTAAGTTGAAATAAGAATGTTATTAATTAACACATTAAAGTATTATGAAATAAAGAATATTTTTAGAAACATACTAGTGGTGCGTTAATTTTGCTAACCAGTGTATATTGACAACTTTATTTACTTTTTTCCAAAAAAATGCCCGAAAAACAAAAGGTCGTGGGAGATTTATGACATCAACAAAACATAAAGCACAAGTATATCAATTTGTATTAATAACATTTTTTGTAGCTTCAAGAGATTCGTGAGATTTGAACTTTATGTATGTTGATTTGTGATATGCACCTTTCGCTCTCGCTCTAGTAACGTTATTTATTTTCAGGTCGATAGGACTGACTTGCAATGTTGCGCCAGTGCAGTATATCTAGTCAAACTCAACATAGTGGATCTCTGTCCGAATCCGCTGTACCTATCAGTAGCCCTGCCACTGATCCTCGCGATATTTCTTTTCTTTGCGATGGCGATCGCCCTTTACTACCGTTATCAAAAAGAAATAAAGATCTACGACATTGGCTATTTATACATACAATATGTATAAGAAATTGGCTATTTATACATACAATATGTATAAGAAATTGGCTATTTATACATACAATATGTATAAGAAATTGGCTATTTATAGTTACGTATAACGCAGATAGAAAAGTAGAATATTGATTGTGACCATCTATGAATGCCATCCTCAACTAAAATGTTTGCCTCCACTATATCCATTAAAGTGCCCCTTCTTCTTGTTAATACTTCTGTTTAACATACACGGGCTTCAAAAGTAATCTGCGTTAATTTTGCATATCGTGATGAGCTAGTTTACTCACAGGGCACATATTCCGATTTTCAAGCCATCACGAAGCTCATAAATAATTTTTAATGGAGATAGGCGATAGTAAGCTGCGTCTCGTGTGCATCGCACAATAGCCAGCAATGCCTCTGTGGGTATCGGGATCGGCAAGATAGGAAGCTGCGTTCCACAGAAACACGCGTTGATTTCGATACCTATCGGCGCGTCAAAAGTAAGCAGCTTACCGTGTGCATCGCACCATAAGCGCCAATGTCTCTCTACCTATCTGCTGCAAATCGACGCGCGCGCTTAGCTTACTTTTGACGCCCGTGTGCACCGGTACTAATAATTGAAACCATTCAAGTGATTCAAGTCAAGATAATTACCATTTTATACATATGTACATTGAATAGATAATCGAAGTGCTAAATTGTGAATGACTTATTCTATAAAAGTGTTGCAAGGTATTAGCTGATTTTTTTAAATTAATTATATTTTTAATATTCTAACCTCACTTTTAGATGACAGAACAAATGTCCGTTAATGACAACAATGTTAGTGAACATACTTTAAATGTTGGTCAACATTTTAA